AGGCATAATTAAACATAACTAATATAAAAGTTAGTAATAGAGAAGATTCCAAAGTAATGGGGCCATTTATGGCATGAAACCTAGAAGCAAACCCCAGGCCTCATCGCCACTGGAAATGTATCTCCGGATCCTGACTATCCTTAAACCCCAGGATCACCGGGAACCTGACCAAGTGCATCTCCAGTGGCTGCCACAGCGTAGATGGGCAGCTTCTTCCGTGGATCTTTTCCTTCCTCCTTACACTTTCTAGAGTTGACAGGATGTTTAAGGATGGCAACAAGGGATATGAAGTTGAACGTGGAATAATGAAATGGTGCTAATGCAACCTGGGGAGACAGTGAAGAAGTCAATGTAAGACAGGAGACCTCCTGGAACCACTGCAGAGCAGGGTGTGGATATGGCATCCTGATACGGTCTTGCCAACACTGGCTAGTTAAATCTTGCGTGGAGGAGTAGTTAGGGGCATTGATCTTGGTTACTTCTACTGACCTTCAAGGCTAAGCCATCTTGAGACCCTATCAGGAGTATCTCGATTGCAACTCATACATGAAGACCACAAATCTCCCCATTATTGGCCAAGCACAGCCCTGCCCCCTTGATGCCAAACACATCATGCGAAGGCTGAGGAATCCACAGAGCCACTAGAGCTGGGAACACGGATGGGAGGAGTTGAGTGAGGTGGAGGGAACACCTTGGCAGGAAGTAATTCCTGGGAACCATGGAGGCACCAAACATGGAAGAAGGTATAACCCCAGACATCAGCACAGCAGTGGGAACCTGCAGTGCACAGAGCTCCAGTAAGCAGGTGCGGGAGGAGGGAGGTTGTCACTTGTAAGAGTGGGAGATGAAGTTGTTCACTCCTTGAATTCCAGCCCCATGAGTCTAAACTCGACACTCCACGTGTGGCTGAGAAAACCGTTCCGTAGGCCGCCAGGGATGCCATTCACAGAGATCTCAATGGGCATGGATTGTTCTGGAGTTGGGTCCATGGTCTGCACATCTGCATAAGGTGGCATTCTCTACAGTTTGTCCTGCGAGTTAGTCACAGAGTTTTGAGCCTAGGTCGGGTTTGCTGTAAGAGCTGCTTAAGAAAGATGAATGTCATCACCTTCGGTAGATGTTAGCCTTAAAGCGATACAGTCGTCTTAGGAATTCTTTTCAAAAGCCATTTATCTGACCAATAAACACAGCCCTTAGCTTAGGACTTCACGCTTAGCAGGTACTACTGCATGCTTGCTAAATGAATGAAAGAAAGAGCACCGACGTAAAGGAGAGAGCAGTTAAATCCATTTCAAAACAGAGAATGTTCTGGAAATCCCGCACAGCAGACTGGTTAACTAAGGCGACTGGATTTGATCCAGTCTGGATTAAAGCGGCTGGGTTAAAATGTGCCCCCCTTCTCTAACTGCCACATATTTTATCACAGCTGCATACGTATGTAGCCATTCCCACCACTGTATGGTTAACTACTCCCACGCATCTTACTGATACCGTAAGCATTTTATCTATTATCATTATTTTTGAAAGATTTTATTGATTTATTTGAAAGAGAGAGTGAGAGAGACCTCAAACAGGGGGAAAGGAGGAGCAGACTGCCCCCCCTGAGCAGGGAACCCTAAGCAGGACTTGATCTCAGGACCCTGGGACCATGACCTGAGCCAAAGTCAGACACTTACCCGACTGAGCCACCCAGGCGCCCCTATCCATTATTACTACGCTGGATTGCTCCATGGATGTGTACCCCAATAATAATAGTAGTAATAGTAATAGTAACTATTTCTATTACGTGCAAGACATTGTGCTGGTTGCTTTATACACATCGTTCATAATTTTCATGTGTCAAGTAAAACTCAGATTATAATTTCACTGTAAAATTAAGATATTCTAAATTCATCCACGGTCATATGGATACACAGTGAATGAATGAAGAGTCCCACCCAGACCTTCCTACTACTGGCTTTTTTTCAATCCAAGCACGATGACTGTTAATAAGCATAAAAAATGTTGAAGGCACTTGGTATAATTATCTAATTTATCCTGTGCTGCAGTGGCTTCCAAAGGACGTGAATCTGGCCTTTGAGAATGAGGAAGAAGTAGCCACTGCATATTTTACATCAGAAGTAATAAATACACCATCAATCATGTAAGCATCGGTTACACACCACTATCAGCTTATAATTTTCTTGATCTCTCCAGATATAGGGCTCTCCTCCCTCCTTGTAAACTCACTGGAATGTTCTGGAAAGCATGCACATGACCTCCAGCCTGATTTTTCTAAAACCCCAATCTGACCCTGCCACTTCCTGGTTTAACACCAGCCTAGATGCTACATCTCCTCTACCAAGAAGACCACGATCTCTAGCTGGTCTTTGAATCCCTTCCCATTCGAATTCCGACTCATTTGGCCCAGCCTGGCCACTGCTCTCAAACTGGCCTGGCCACTGCTCAAAAAGTGGCCTGGCCACTGCTCTCAAACTGTCAATACTGGAACCATGGCGAATTACTAGAAATTTCAGAGAATCCCACTCCTTTGTTTTTGCACATTCTTTTCTTTGTCCCTGAAATGCCAACGAAGATCTCTTATTCGTGTTATTTCATGGCTCCACAAAGACAGGAAATGTATTTTTTTAAAAATCATTGTATCTCCATACCCAGTGTCTGGCACATAGTAGGTTTCAGCAAATATTTGCTCTGGATTAATTCGAGGTAAAAAAATAAAAAATAAAAAAATAAAATCACATTTTCTGGGAAAACTCCCTGAAGTCCAGGAAAAGTTGCTTCTTCCAGTATGTTCCATTGATGCCTTGATATTCTGATTGCCACATTGTTATGCAATGAAATGACATATTCCCATGCCTTTCTCTGGGGCTAGACTCTGAGCTCCTGGGTGGCAGAGACCAAATCTTACTCATACGTGGGCCCTTAACAACCAGCACAGGGCCTGGCTTATAGTAAGCCTTCATAGATTTCCTGGAATTGAAAATGCAATTCTAAAGCAATCACGTGAGCTGAGCAGGGCGGGTGTTATGCTTCTCATTTTACAGTTGAAGAAACAGGGACCCAGGGAGGAAAAAAAGTCTTGACTCAATTTTCATTTGAAATCAGAGGCCCACACAGGCCTGGGGACAAGTCCTCCCAACCCCTAGGTATAAAGCACTGTTGGTGGCCACTGAACAGAGGAGGCTAGTGTCTTTCTGACCCATCTGCAGAGGCTACTCAGGTCTGCTCCTGAGATGGGCACAAACCCTTGCATGTCTTCAGGGGACAGAACTGGATTCAAGGACTCTGCTTAGCAGTCCTGGTGATAGTCCGGGAGAACTCGTGAATTCCCCTGGGGTCAGGGACCCAGTCCTAGGCAGGCTTTCAAGCAGCAAGATGGTGAGATGTGCCAGGACCCATGGGGCCACTTCTTGACCTTCTTTTCAAGCTGTGGCCCTGTGGTGGCCTGCTGTACGGTCAGTCAGTGTCCTCTCTGGCCAGCTTCCCAGGAACTTCTTATCACCAGATTAACTGGGTTGTGCATAATTATAAATAGGTCCCCTGTCTACTCAGAAGTGTCCTACTGTGGACAATAAATCGTCTGGTCCTCTTTCCCTCCCTACTAGGAAATATGCATCCATCCCATGGAAAGCTCAGAAAGCTCCAAGAGACTTTAAATTCACCTTTCCCAGTCCCTTGCTTTTTTAAATTAAAAAAAAAAACATTTTTTTTTTTTAATATGTCATTCCTCAACCAGATTGCTTCTGCTTTACCAAGACACACTAGATGAGTGCCCGGAGTTCCAGGTCTTTTTAGGACTTCAAGCCCTCTTGCCCGGTGTGCTCCTGCCCAAGCCAGAGGACTGGAGGCTCCCTAGCAAGTTGAGAATTGGCGGGGAGGGGCGGGCTGCGAAACTGCACCTGATTCTCAATGTCAAGGAGCGCCTATGGGGCCAGCACTCCGGGGTGGGGGAGTCCAGAGCACTTGAGTAAGTGCAAGCAGGTGTCTGTTTCACCTGCTCACCAGCACCGAGGCCCTCTGGGCACCGCCCCCAGAGGGGAAGAACTAGTGATCGAATTTGGTCCAAGCCTAAAGGTTGTCTTCAGCTGAAAGCCCTCAAAGCCCGGGTGATGGGGTGGTGGGGCGTGGAGGGGCAGGGAGGCGGTGACTGGAGGGCAGGTGGACACCAGCGCAAAGCAAGCAATTGTCTTCTCTTTAAACGAGGACTAGGGTGCTGCGTGGGGGGGGGGGGTAGATAACGAAACTAAATTTTTGAAACTACACGCGGCACCACTTGTGCAAGCGATCGCCGAGACAGGGAGGAAGAGCTCCTGGCGCCGAGCAGCATCTGGAGCGCGGTGGCCCGATGCTCACAGGACGCCCGGCTCTCCGGGGGGTGGGGGTGGGGGTGGGGGGAGCGCGGGGAGGATGCGCTCGGTACGCGCAAGTCCACACCGCGCGCCACCGAGCTGCTCCGGGGAGACGCGTGGGTACCCCGGGGGGGGCCCGCGCCTCCCGCACCCCCGCGGGGCGCCGCGAGCCTCCCGGGTCCCCCGCGCGGGTGCGCTCCCGCCCGGGCCGCGGAAGGATATCGCGCTGGGGGCCGAGCCGGAGGGCGCCGGGGCCGGGAGCTCCGGAGCTCGGAGCTCGGAGCTCGGCAATGGCAGTGGCCGCGGCCGGCGGGCGCGGGGAGCCGCCCGAGGACTGGCAGCGGCGGGGCTGATTGATGGGCGCCCGGCGCAATGAGGGGGGCCCGGGCGGGGGCGGGGCGGGGCCGGCCCGGGGCTGAGCCAGTCGCGGGGGCCGCGGGGGCCGCGGGGGCGGGGGCTCCGTGGACATGTGTGGGTGACATTGAATGGGGAGACTGAGCGCGAGCCCGGCGCGCGCACACACACGCGCACACACGCGCGCACACGCGCGCACACACGCGCGCACACGGGGCCCCGCTCGCTCCGAGATCCCCGCCACGTAAGTAACTATTAATACCGCGTCGCCGGGAGTTGCGGGCGTGCTGAGCTCGGGGACCGGCCTCGGGCACCGTCGGCCACCGCCCCCCCCCAACCCCGCGCGCCCATCCCCCCCTTCAATTTCAAATACACATTCCTCTTACCTCCGGGGAAGAAAGAAAGAAGAAAGAAAGACAGAAAGAAAAATAATAATAATAAAAGACGGAGAAGAAAAGCCATCAATTTCCTCCAAAACAAACCCCACCGGGCAATTTGGGTGTAGGGTCCGGGGGAGGCGGAGCGGTTGCAAATTGCTCCAAGGCAAGATCCAGTTATCCAGCGGGAAAGGAGCGCGCCGCAGGTTGGCCGGGGGCGCATCCCCTTCCAGCGCCCGGGGGACCCCCCCACCTCGCCCCTCTCCAGCTCGCCCTCCCCCCGGAAGCTCGTGCCGGGGGAACCGGAGACCTTTGATCTACGCTCGTCCCTGCCTGCACTTCTGGCTTTATTCGGAGGACGGGCTGCAGCGCGAGCGAGGGAGCGAGCGAGCGGCGACAGCATGAGCCTGTGCTGACCTCCGCCCGGCGGGCCGACCCGGGCTTTGTCGCGGTCCCTGCGCGCGCCCCGCGCCCCGCGCCCCGCACCCCGCGCCCGGCGCCGCCACTCTCGGCCCCACCAGCTTCTGCGACCTTTTGTTGGCAGCGCTGACCGCTCCAAGTTAAATGCTCCTTTGCCATTCTTTTTTTTTTTTATTTTTTCTTTCTTTCTTTCTTTTCTTCCCTTTTTCTTTTTTTGTCTGTTTGTTTAAATTTTGGAGAGCTCTTGCGATCTTGGAAAAGCCTCACACGCCATCTACAGTTAAAACGTAGGTAGCTCCTCGCTCCGCCGGCCTCCCCCCCGCTCTTCCACGCCCCCCACCCTTTCCACCAAAAAAAAAAAAAAAAAAAAAAGAGGGGGGGTGCAGCGCGGATTGTGTCTGCCGTGCAGCGCGAGCCGGTAGACCCGTGCTTATTTCCTTTTTCTTTCTCTCTTTTTTTTTTTTTTCCTTTTTCCCTTTTTGTTTGGTTTCTAACGCGTCGAGACCCAGCGGCTGCCGTGCGCGCTCCTCCAAGATTGCACAAACTAGACAGCAGGGCTCCTCCGCCCGGTCCGCGCCTCGGAAGCCTGCGTGGGGATCGCTTCGGGAGACCTGGCGCTGCGGCTCCCCGCCGGAGCAATCGGGTGGCTCGTCTAGACCCACGTTGGAAGGAGGCAGAGAGAAAGAAACTAAAAGTGCGGAGACTCTGCAAAATCGCCGGCTGCTTGGGGGTAACAAAAGGACTCGGAGTTGCTGCGGACTGAGCGCCCCCGGGAGCCGGGGCTCGGAGCCGACCAGGTGCCCGGCGGCGCCCATCTGGGGGCTTCTCCCTCTCTCTCCACGTACCCCCTCCCCGTCCCCTCCCCTCGCGTATCCTTTTAAAATCCGTGGCACGGAGGCGCCTGCAGCCGCGCTCGCCAGCGACTCACCATCTCTCCAGCGGGGGTGCTTTTTTTTTTTTTTTTTTTTTTTTGTCTGTCTGTCTGTCTGTCTGTTTGCCGAGTGCGATCCCCACACTCATGAACATACACAGGTCTACCCCCATCACAATAGCAAGATATGGGAGATCGCGGAACAAAACCCAGGATTTCGAAGAGTTGTCGTCTATAAGGTCCGCCGAGCCCAGCCAGAGTTTCAGCCCGAACCTCGGCTCCCCGAGCCCGCCCGAGACTCCGAACTTGTCGCATTGCGTTTCTTGCATCGGGAAATACTTATTGTTGGAACCTCTGGAGGGAGACCACGTTTTTCGTGCCGTGCATCTGCACAGTGGGGAGGAGCTGGTGTGCAAGGTAAAGAGCCCGGGGTTTGCTGGTTTGGGGTTTTTTTGTTTGTTTGTTTTTGTTTTGTTTTTTGGGGGGTGCTTTTTTGTTTTGCTTATTGTCTTTTCACAAGATTCCCCGGGCCCGTTTGGAGGTTGGGGGGGTGTGGGGGGGGCGGGAGGTCGCCAAGCTCCGGAGCCCCCGGAGGAGGGAGACGCGCGGGATAATTCTCCGTGGCCTCGTTAAAAAGGGGCTTTATTTATTTGTTCACGTTCGACTAGTTGCGAAGTTTTTGGAGCGTTGCAGACAATGGGGCGGGCCGCGGCGGGGGCGTCCCGGGGAGAGCCGCGGGGTCGCGGGCGCCGCGAACACGCGCGCTCCCCGAGGCCCGTGGGGCGCCCCTGCGCGGGGTCGGGGCCCGCGGCCGCCCGGGGCTGTCTCCCCGACTGTCGCCCTCCCCCCCTCCCCCTCCCGCCGTGGAGGAGGGAATCCCCCGCTCATTTTAGGGCACTGATGACCGGGTTCCTTTCGCAGCCATTGTTCTTAGAAGCGTGCAGGTGTTAAACCTTTGTTCCGAAGGTGCCCTTTAAAGGAGACACACAAAGGTGTCCCCTCCGGCTGAGCCAGGGGCCCAGCGCGCGGGGAAGGAGTTTACAAAGAGCTCCCTGCTGCCTGCAGCCTGGAAAGGAGGGCTGGGGGTTGAAATCAAAGCCGCAGGCGCACCTTTGGGTGTAGGAAATAGTGAGTCCTTGGCTGCTTCTCTGTGGCCTCCTTTCTGCTCATCCTCCGGACTTCCGTGCCTGAACACCCCCCCCCCCCGACACCCCCCCTCCGACACCCCCCACCACCACCAACACACCTTTGCCTGTAGGGTTTACAGGCCGGCTTCTGGAGCCCCTGGGATTCTCACTGCTAATACAGAGATGGGCACTTCAGTTTCCTTTTTGTCTTTGACCCCCAACAGTGACTGGGGTGTCTGTGTGTCTTTGTGTGCGCTCCAGAGGAGGGGATGAGAAGGGGAACAGTTGCAAAAAAAAAAAAAAAAAAAAAATAGAGTAGAGCATACTGCTACCCTGGGCATTGGGACATAGATCAGGAATTCATTGTCACTTAATTTTATATTCGGTCACTCTTGGCTTTTCTTGGGAGGGGGGCGGCGGGTAAGGGGGTGGTGAGGAGTGAGGACCTCTGCTACCTTCGACATGGGCACTCTGCAGAGCTGTGCTACGAATAAAACATCCGCGCTTCTCTACCATTAACCACAGATTGCCTTATTTCGTAGCGGACTGGAGCCTTTTCATTGTAAATATGGGTTTTGTGGAGGTCTTCAGTCAGTTTTGCAATTGCTCAGTTCAGATCTCAGGGGGAAAATCAGAGACTCTTTAAATAGAGCTCTCTGCTTCTCGGGAGCATTTGGTATTTTGCATCTCCTCCCAAGTTATTGAGACCCAGAGCGACTGTGCCCGGTTAACCAAAATTCGGTAGGCTATTCAGGGCTGGATTGAATTCTCAGAAGACCTGCAAGGTTGCACAATAGGGGAGTCATCCTTTGAAATGAATGAATTCCACAGAGCTGCCACTCTCCTGTGAAATATGCACAATCGCCCAGCAGTGAGAGTGTTCACTCCCTTTGCTCAACTTCGGTACAACATTTTAATATTTTTCAAAGGCTGGAGACGCTTGTAAGTAAAGGGACTCTGCCTTCAAAGTCTGCAGGAGCATCTTGCTGTTATTTCTTTGTTTAAAGGCAGAGGGGACTTGCCCCTGTTCTTTCTTTCTCCCTCCAGATTCTTCAAGACGTATTTCCCTTTGGGCTGACCTTTCGGTGTCATTCATAGACTTGCTCTTTGGCTTGAAACTGTACTTAATCGGCTGGTTTAGTTCTTGCAAAGATTGAATCAAGCCCCTCAGCAATTACTGTGTGGCTGCAAGTGGATTTAAGTGCAGTATCATTGTTCTGCTTGACACAGGTCATCCCTTTAAGACACGGCAGCCCGGTTTCCTGCAAAGGCTGCAAGACTTTTTATGCAAGCAGAGTTGTATGTGTCCTGGGAAGCCCCAAGTGGTTTTTATAAGGCTGCTTCCACGAGCTACCCCCAGATGCACGGTGTGAACTCAGTTTACCGCAGGGCACTGTGAAATCTGCACATTGAATCAAGTTCCGTATCGTGTCTCAGAGTAAAGAGTTCATGTCTTCCAGCTCCCTTGTTGACCCAAGGACAAAGTCTTTGCAAGACCAGACCAAATGTAAAGATGTCATGACTAGAGAGGACTGCAGAGAGAATTCTACAGGACCCTCTTTGGGATCATTTGACCAAAATAATCAGGCCTGTTTGTTTATTGTCTCCCTGAGCCTACTTTAAGCTAGCCAAATGAAGGAGGGCAGCTTTAGGGGGTCTTTACCTTATCATTTTCATGGAAATGCTGGTAGCTACTGTGCAGATTGACATAATTACTATCTTGGAATAATGGGCACTTTTTTTTTTTTTTTTTTTTTTTTTTTTTGCAAATGCTACTAATGATGGCCTGATCTCACTGCCTTATCTCAACTGTCACATTATATAAGTAAGGCTCTAAATTAAAATTAAACATTTAAAAGAAGCTGGCAGCCAGGCTTATGGCTGGATTTTGCATTTGAAGGTGATGGTTTAAATACCAGTCCCACCCCATAAATGCCTATTATAGCTGCTACTAAAAGTTTGGTTCTTACCCATTTGGGAGAACAGGGGTGTTTGTTTTATTTTTCATCCTCTGTCCACCATCTTGGAATTTGATCTCCTCCAGAGGGTATTGGCTAGTCCTTGAGGCTGCCATGAATATGTTGTCTTGTTTGTTTGTTTAAATTTCTGTGTCCATCATCAGTGGGACAGGATTAACCGACTGAAGGTGTGGAGCAGAAATCACCATGTATTTTTTTTTTTTTTCTAGAAATGCAACTTGAGGGAGGAGGGTATTACAAATCATTGTGACTCCATGAGCACTGGCGACAGAGCCTGCAGCCTGGTGCTCCAGGACACATCGCCCCCATTATATAACACGGAGTGTTTACATTAGCCACTGCAAGACGTTTATTACTCTCTGTGAAATTTTTGAGGGTTTCCTAGGTTTCTGCTGCCCGCAGTCTGGGTGTTAAAGTTGACTCAGGCATTTCAGATTCCTAATTGAACGGACCTCTGAGGTCACTGCTCGTAGGTCATCATTTGACAGTATCAGGGTGTGATTTGTGGTCTCTGGAGATGTTCAAGTATTCATTCTTAAATTCTAGGTTATAGTGGCGGCAGCTGTGCCGCCTTCGTGAGATGCCTCATTATGGTTCATTCACAACGTTACTTTGCTTCCTCGCCCTGGGTTAGCACCAGCCCTCCTGAGGTTCTTTCTATCCTTGTTTGACTCACAGATTTCTTCCGATTTTTTGAACCTAAGGGCGATTGAACTTAAATCATGGATTCTTAAGTGGCAGCCTGTGTCCCTGGATGGGGTTGCCGAAGGCCTGCGAATCCCCTTAAAATGAATCCAGTGTTATTCTGCACGCATGGGAGAATGGGCATTGTCAGCCAGGAGGGGACAGGGCTTTGATCGGGTTCTCACGTGGGATCCGGACCCCAAAAAGGTCAGCGGGGTTCTAAATCAACGTCTTCAGTTTAGGAAGAGGAGGGAGGCCCGGTGACCCTGAGTGCTTTATCCATCTTATCCAGATTACTGGTGGCCAAGCCAGGATTAGAGCCTCAGACGGGTGATTTCTAGGCCACGCTGCAAAACGAGGATCAAGGAGAGGGTGTTCTAACTAATGAAAAAGATTTAAGAAGCTAAATGGTTGTTGCTGGAGCATTCTAGGCCTGCAGTGCTCTCCAGCAGAGCACCTCGCGCCTGCCCCTCACTCCTGCAGGCGCAGAATGGAGTCATGTGCCCACATTCCCAGGCAGATAGTAAAACCACATTCCAAACCCAGGGATTTGTATTCCTGATTTACTGGAGGTCTTGAAATGAATGAAAGCTTTTTCTTATAACCTCAACGATTCTCTGTAGTCTTAATTCCTCTTAGGGTGGTTTCAAAAAGGTATTGAGGATGGATTTTCTTTTTAAATAACCCCACAATGAGGTGGCATTTCACAGGCTAATTTTGATTCATAGAAAATCATTGCATAACTGATTCATTGAGCTAGATAGCTGTGGAGGGAGTCGAGGAGCGTGTCTGCTTTCCTATTAAGGACTGTGTGTCCTATTCCTAGCTCTGCCGCTGGGGCTCTATTCGCCTTGCTTTCTGAGCCTCCAAAGCCACGTCTGTAAAATGAAGGTATGGAATTAGAGGACCCTGAGGCAAGGTCTACGTATTTACTCTGCTAATTGCTAGTATGTTGTAGGGTCCTATGCAACGCAACTGGCACAGCACAAACCATGTTGCTCACAATTGCCACGGTTGGATAGTGATGTACGGTTTTTTTCTTCCGTTTCATTTTTGGGAGGAAAATAAGACGCTGTCTGCGGAACTTAGCAGGGGGTCGCTTGCAGATTTTGCCTCATTTCTGTAAACCACCGATGGGGGTAGAGAGGAAAAAATGCTAAGATGTCTCATTTATGCACTATTTTACGTCTTGCAAAGCCTTTTTACCTTCGTTATCATATAATATGTGTTGTTTGTTTGTATTTATTTATATTTATTTATTTATTTATTTATTTATCATATAATCTTCCCAACACTGAGAGTCAGGTGTCATTTGCCCATTTTCGACATGGAGATTCGGAAGCTCAGAGCATTTGGTCAAGGGAGCATTTGGGGATGAGCAAAGATAAAGGACAGCTGGGAGCAGTCAGGGCCAGTGTGGTGTGCATCCAGGTTCTGTCTGCCTTTCGTCCCCTCAACAGCCAATGCCTTGGGGGGGGGGGGTCTGCATGCTAGCAGTTGGCTCTAGAAGGGGCACCTCTGACTCTTGGTCTTGTTGTGAATCCCGTCCTAGGTGTTCGATATCAGCTGCTACCAGGAATCCCTGGCCCCGTGCTTTTGCCTGTCTGCCCACAGCAACATCAACCAAATCACCGAAATTATCCTGGGGGAGACCAAAGCCTATGTGTTCTTTGAGCGAAGCTATGGGGACATGCATTCGTTTGTCCGCACCTGCAAGAAGCTGAGGGAGGAGGAGGCGGCCAGACTGTTCTATCAGATTGCATCGGCCGTGGCCCACTGCCACGACGGGGGGCTGGTGCTACGGGACCTGAAGCTGCGGAAGTTCATCTTTAAGGACGAAGAAAGGTGAGTGTCATTCCTGTCCGGACCTGGAACTCTCATGGGCTGCTCAGGAGTGGCTCGCTTGAGAGGTTGCAGTGGACATTATCGTGCTGGCCGCTGTCCCGGCGAGAAGGCAGGGTGGGAGGGCAAAGGAGGTGAATGAATATTGCAGTGACTTAAGTGCCCTGGGAAGACAGGCTGCTGCTGCTCCAGCGGTGTTACTGAATGCTCAGAGGTCGGGCGCCAGGACGGTCTGCGACCTGCTAATTAATTTTGTTTTGGTGTCGTGAACTCTGAAGGTGGCCGGAAGCCTCTGTGGCCTTTTCAGTGTGCATAAGGCACGAGTTTTGCTTTTGAAATAATCCTGCCTTCCGATGGGCTCAGTGCCTGGCATCAGTCATTTAGAATCCATTCATTGATTCCCCCACTCAGTAGATGTTTCCTAAGTGTATACGTGTGCGTTGATACGGCGCGTGTGTTATTCATCACAATTCTCAGTAATGTGAATATCAGCGTGCGTTAGCTGGTCAACTCACCTACAAAGGAATGTTCCAAGCCCTAAATGAAGATTATATATGGGTCAGATGGGAACTGGGGGCTGGGATGTCAGTTCTCACTAGGACTTGGAAGTCAAGAGAGTTCTTATCAGAGAGGTGATTTGGGAGCTCACCTGAAAGATGAGTATGTTCCAGTGTGCGAAGGACCATATGCCAGGTAAGGAAGTTGCCAATACACATACAAAGCGAAGTGAAGGTCTGGGTTATTGTGGGGGACAGCTGGGCAGGACGCTGGGCATCTGGGTTCCATTCATTGTTCTTCCATTGGCCCATGACATTCTGTTGGGCAAAGCCACTTGGGGCCTGCTTTCTCTTCGATTGTTCAACTCTTCTGAGCCACTTTTTTTTTTTTCTTTTGAAGAGTATACTGTTTTAGAGGGATGGAGGCAAGTGATTTATAATCATTGCTGACTATTCCAGAAATTGCTCCAGAATTTCTACCACGATGACCTTGGGCTTCCTCAGCTCCTACTAGAAAAGCGGTTGGTAAAGCGGAGATCCCATTGTCACAAGGCCCCTGAGGACCATCTGAGTGCAGAGCTCACGCATACCATCCATTCACTCCCTCAACAAACATATCTGGAGGATTATTATCATTTTTTTAATCTGTAATATCTTTTATATGTCTGGTGCAGATCTGGCTTTTCACCCATTCTTCCTGCCAGTTAGCCTGCCGTGTACCCAGAGGCGTATGATAGTTTAGGTTACTGCTTATAGGTGTCTGTTGATGTCCTACATGACAGATCTAGAATGAGATCTAGTGTTATCTCCTTCGGTTTTGTTCATCTTTATGGTCTGAGCTCATTGGGAAGTAAATGGGAAGCATTTGGGGATGAGCAAAGATAAAGGGCCTGTGGTTACTTAAACCGAATGCGATAATTTTGTGACAGTTTATCATGCAGCTGAGTGGTTATTGTTCCATATATTTTACCCATAAAGAGGTGTCTTAGGCATTCATGGCAGCTAATAACCTGGTCTCTTGATAGTGCACGGTTTTGACTCTTACTAACAAACAGAGGAATAGGGAGCTCGCCTAAGATCTCGAGTGTGGGGCGACGTTTACATTTTCTCTTCTTCAGCTCAGCTGCCTCTGCTCTTGCAGTCTGGAGACTCAGGTTCTTGTCCCAGGTTTGCCTTTAATACCCTCTGTGACCTTTTAGTTTGGCCCTTTCCTCCTGGCCCCAAGTTTCTTATCCTTTTATTGTCCTGGCTCTGTTTTACTGGTTCTGAGGTCCTTCTGAGTTATAACATCGGGTATGTGCTTCATTGAGTATTGTCACTGGAAGTTACATACACATCTGACCCCAACAGACTGCTGACAAAGGTAGTTCCTTTGTCCTTCTGTGTTCCACCTTTCTTGGAAATGTAATAACTGTAATTACAAAAATAAGAGGCGGTAGTTGGAGACCACTATTAAGGTCCTGCTATCAGGTTATTGTTGGCCTTACCTCATTCTCTCTGCAGATGGGGGGATGGGCATCATCATGTTCATTTTATAGAGGAGGACTCCAGAATCTTCTGTGAATTCTCAAACTTAATAGACAAGAAAGAGCTGAAGTAAGGACATATTCTCTATTAAATCAGCTTTCAAGAAATTCATTTGCTTGCCACGAGGAGTAAGAGCAAATGAATGCCCTCTCTCCTGGGGATCCAAGTTTTTAAACATCACCTTTGACTGTGTGTATATCTCTCTCTCTTTTTTTTTTTCAAGATTTTACTTTTATTCATGAGAGACAGAGAGAGAGGCAGAGACACAGGCAGACAGAGAAGCAGGCTCCATGTGGGGAGCCTGATGCGGGACTCGATCCCGGGTCTCCAGGATCACAAAGGCAGATGCTCAACCACTAAGCCACCCAGGTGCCCTGATTGTGTCTCTTTAGAGAGGAATTTCAGACACCAGCGAGTATACAGGGTGGTGCACCCAGTGATAGCACACACATGGTAAATACATATTTATGAAGCGAGTCACAGTAGGTGGACTTCCCCAGGTCACAGAACATGGGAGCAGGTGTGGACTCTAGGGTCTCCAGAGGGCTCATCCCTCAGTCCTCTCCTGTTGCTGCCTGGAATCAGAGCCCCAGAGGTGAGGGTGCTGGCCCCAGTGCCCACAGATGGCTGGAAGCAAAAAAGGGGCTGAGTCACACCTCACATTTGCTGCTGCAGGCCTGGCTTGTCCTTTATGGGGAGTTAAGAGTGCCCAGGAGCGCATGGTGGCAAAGCTGAACTCCTTGGTGTCCCAGGGCCTAGAGAAGAAACATGAAGATGTCAAAAGCTTCCAATGCTAGGACTGTGAGTCTCTGGCTCTGAGTTTAGAGCGGTGTTTGACTTTTGCCGAAGAGCAGGACCCTGTCTAGAAAGATCTAGAAAAAAGTATCCCGTATGAATGTGAAACTAGAACACTTCACTGGAGTAAGCATGTCAAAGCTAAATCCTTTTTACCTTCAGAGAGCATTTTCCTTCTGAAAAAGGAAGCATCAGTGACAGGGAGGAAGCTGGTCATCACGCGTCCCCAGCATATCTGACAGGACTTGAGCCCGTGCAGCCCTGCCTCCGTGGGGACCGTCAGAGAGAACAATAACTCCTCGTCTGATGGACGAGGTGACTGGGTTGCCCAGGAGTTAAGTGACCTTGCTCAAGGTCATACAGCCAGCATGCTGATGATGGAGCCAGCCTGGAAATCCTATCGTTTCACTCCAGAGCTCTTTCTCTACCCCACACCGTGCTGAAGTCCCGGTGGACTGGCTGTTCCTAGCCTGACAAATGTCTCTGTCTGGGCAGCTCTGAGAAGGTCACTCTCATTTTCAAGGACATTCTAAATGTTCTCATCAGTAGCCGACAGGAACTTTTTTCTCCAGCCAGCTGTCAACTTTTATGAAAGAGGAATAATGCCTTGTAGGCTTCCTCCTTATTGTTTTGTTTTTTAACGTCTCGATTTCAGAGTGGGACACTCTGGGTTTGTCACTCGATGCATTTCTCCCTCTGTACGTCCCAGCAGTCATTGAGTTTCACGGCAGAGTTCCTCTTTGTTGGTCTGCACAGTGGCCTGCATGGAGCGACCTGTCTGTTTTTTTGAGGGGGACAGCAGCCGGGGACCTCGCTGGGGACCAGGCTCCTGGCAGCCCTCACCATCCATCCCAATCGGCAGGACTTCATCAATAGGTATTTGAATAGGACTGAAGCCTACGCCTCTCCTGACAGCATCCAGCATCCAGCGTGTGAGAAAACAATGGGTTGAATTTGAAAGGCTTTTGAAACGGTGAAGGATGGAGTCTGTCTGTTTTCTGACCCTTTATGCATTGGTCCTGTGGGGGAAAATCTCAGAAGAGGCCTTTCGAAGCCCTATTTTATTGAAGTTTCAAATCACCAGACCCCTCTTTTGTGCATGATCTTCTCTCTCTCAAGGATGTGCGTCTTATTGTCTGATGCTCTTGTAAGGGATTGAAGGTGAAAGCATCACATAGTGAAGTTGGCTGAGCCCCACTGGGTGCAGAACGAGACCGGCCTGTGAGCTGACTCCTTATGAGTGGATTTCCGATTCTGGACCTATCTGTAGCTGAATCCGGGACCATCCATGAAAGGGTTCTTGGTAGAACTGTCAGGGCCATTAGTCCAGTTTCTCGAAAGCAGCTCTGACGACATTATGCACACGCGCCACCCCATGTTACATGAGGGCCTGATGCCAGGGTGCCTTCTGCTTCTGCGTCGAATTAGCAGCACTGCAGGGCCTTTGGCTTCTGTTTTATTTTGATTTGGGTTCTAGATTCGCATTCTGTCTCTACCACTCCTTAGCTGCCTGGTCTTGGATGAGCCATTGAATGCCCCTGAGCTGCAGATTGCTCAGGGCAGAAATTAGGACTGCATCTCTGTCGGGGGCTGTGAGAGTGAAATGATCCAAAAGCACACAAGGTGGGGCAAGGGCTGAAAATAGCCAATGGCCAGCTGGTCCTGAAGTCATTGATAAAATGGTGCCGTTGTGAACGAGCCATTCCCAGGGCGCCCAAGTCCTGTGGAGAACGTGCTCCAGCTCTTAGGGGATCCATTTCACAAGCAGTGGAACCCTTGTGATGTGAAGGGTCGGATTTAAGCCATACCCTCTTTTCTTGCTGAATTACAATCATTGGATCATCAGTGCTGGGAGGGTGACCAACAGGGTGAGTGCAAAGGGGTAGAGTGTGCAGCTCAGAAGGGCCAGAAGGTCGACAAGATGTACGCACGGGAAGGTGGACACAAGGCACGTGCAGGGAGTGAAGGAGCCTGCTCCCCTGGCCTGGACCAGCCACTCTGTCCCCGGCCTTGTGCTGCTACTTCTCCTCTGTCCCTGGGATGTTTCTGCAGGACAGAACTAAGGTGGTTTTGTTTTCTTTTTGAGGAAGTTAAGCCCCTACCCCGATTGTGCTCACCGTGGACACACCTTTTGCATCCTCAGTTCCTGTAGTAGAATCAGAGATGGGCTGTCGAGTGGGAGGG